TTGTTGATTAACACAAACTCATAACAAAATGCAGAGAACTATCACAATGGTGCTGTAATAACACTTGGCTGCTGAATTCTTTCAATACATTAAATATCTCCTTGGAGACCAAATTACTTTACATTTTCTTAAAAGACAATTTATTATAGCTTTGTTTTCTTCTCATTATCTCTTAAAAATATATTGAATGAAGAAAAGAATACAACTTCTAAATAACTTACATAAAATGGTACTAATGTGTGACAACAGACTTTGGTTTAGTAGTTGGTTATTATTTAACAGCACTCAACAACCTATTGTCATGATAAATCCTTACCACAATACAATATGTCATGTGTATCAAAAACTACTGTATGTCATTATTACAGCACTCATAAAATTAACAGCCTCAGGCTGCTAGCGATTTAAATAATTGATAAGTTTTCAATTAAAAAGGCAGCATTTTGAAGTCTAATACAAAAATCTATTTAAATTACTGATAAAAACTTACATTTGTGTGGGCCCAAAGCCAGAAAATGCTTGCATCCAAAGGAGAAAAGAAGTGATTCTGCAGGTTTCAACTTAGATATTACTTTTTTTTTTTAACTTTTATGTAGCTTTATCTAGGCTGTTTATTCACTTAATCTTTGTAATCAATGGGAAAGAAGGATTTTTAAAGGACTATTGGTAAAAATGCCTCTACTTTTGCTTTCCCCCATTTGGCTTTTAAAGAAATGATAAAGTGACCACAAATGTATTGAATCCCACATCCAAACATAAGATGTTTTGCTTTAGCTTGTTTTATAATAAAAATGTGGTCCTCTATCAGTATCATCGCTGTGCCACTACACCAGATCCTGGAATCAAACCATTTCAGACTCAAATTTGAACCTAAAAAAAAAGATCAATGCAAATTTTTAGTAATAGGTTGGTAATCATAACGACTATCAACCAAAATCTATTGTAAAACTAGGCTCTAATGGTCCTCTAGAACATTTAGGGTCCACAAAGTTGGACTCCAAAGGAAATTTCAGCCATAAAAATCAAGATAGACCAAAATGACAGCCAGCCAATATTGTTTGTGCTTCACTTTTTAGGTATTTATTGAGAGGCTGACTCTATATAAACAAAGGGTATGTGATGGCAGGGATAACAAGATAGTGGAGGAAAAGGAAATCTATTTGAGATAGTAACAGGGAAAGATACCCCCACCACCACCATGGGACTCCACCCCCCTCAGCAAAAGGTCACCCCCATGCAGAATTCCTCCTTCTCCCCACTCAATCCCACCCTCAAATATCCCCTCAGCTCTAAATTCCTTTTCAATTGTAAATTCCTTAAATTCCCCAAAAGACAGGGGAGTTTCTTGGCCAGTTCAGACTGGAAAATGTTTCAGACCAGAACATGGCCCTAGTATGATAAAGTGAAATCTGTTCTCAATTCCTCAATTTGACCTCTCAGATAAAGTTCTCTACCTAAGACTTTATAAACATCTCATACATACAATGAAAGGCTTGGGAATCAGCATAAGCACATGCACAGAAGGACCTGTGTTATATAATACCTTATCAATCACACCTGTCAGTGAGATCACCCTAGCCCCTCCTGCAAAGACCCACCAGATTTTTGTCCCTCTCCATTTGCCCTTACAACTTATAAACTGCCCTTTGAACAAGGATCTTGGGTTTCTGTACCATCTGGACAGAGCCCACTGCTCTTTCTTTTGGGGTGCCTATACTTTCCTTTTCCTTTCAATAAAACTCTACTACTGCTTTGCAATCTGAGCCTCTGTCCAATTCTCTGTTAAAGAGATACAAAGGACCTGAGATGTTCTCAACCAGGGTCTCTTTAGACTACCCTTCCATAACACATTTATGTTCTAAGTGACTTAAAACATGTTCTTTCTCAGAGATATTTTCATTTGCACTCCAAAATATTTTGCTGAAACACTCAGCATTAGAAAAGCAGAGTAAGTTAAAATTTGAGAAGGGACTTAGGTTTCCATCTATAAAATTTTGTAGGTGAATTCATGAGAAAACCTGAACCCAACGAGCCAGACCACAATGCTTGAGGCAGTACCAATTCATAAAAATTTTCATCCATCCACAGCAAATTAAGGAAAAAACCAATAATAATGTAGTGAGTTTTACATAAAACTAATACTTTAAATAAATGGTCACCTTTGCTTTTGAGATTATGCTCTGCCCACTGTTTTACTCTTTAAAGGTGAGGCAGGATAGATAGATGAGGAGACAAGGAAATTATATTATTTCAATAAATATTAAAAGAGCTAGACTCAGGCACTGGAATAAGGAAGTAAAAAACTGAAAAATCAAGCAGTTAGCCCCCTCCCATCTTCTTGTAGATGTTAGGTTATGAGAACAGGGGGACTTAAAGAGGCTACCTGTATCTGCCTTCCTTTATGAGACATTAATAAGCTACGAGCCTCTTTGAATGGGTAGGGAAGATAAAGGGAAGTCCAAAACCCATCTATTGTCTCTGTTTTTTGTGCAGACCTAGATAGCATCCCCATATTTTAAAATAATAAATAGCACCCACCCTAGGTACTCAAAGCCACTGTCCAGTGATTAGGGTTACTAAACTTCTGAGGGCTGCATTCCTTAGCTCAGGTGGGGAACCACAGATAGGAACCACCATTTTGAGTCTTTACTACCATTTCCTGTGTGGAGAACAGGAAATGTTTCTCATACTTCCCCCTACTTTATCCTGTTATACGAAAATAAATCTTTGCTATAACTTGTACCTGTAAGACTCCTTGTTTTGAGACACTGTGAAATCCTTTTCACGTTTGTAGATCTCAAGGACTTGTGATTTTTGTGTGGAAACTGGGAAGCTGAAAGAACCTCCTCACCCCTCCTCCAGTAACAAAATTATCATTATTTTTCTTTGTTAATAAGATAATGACAACAGATACTTTTAATGGTTATTTTAACGTTTCTATTTGGCAAAAATAAAACTTGCCATGCCTATGTCTGTCCCCCAACCTAAAATGAAAAGCTGACTCACTTCTGACATCTGAATATGTGGGGAAGAATGAGCTAGATGATCTCTTTTCAAACTAACAGTACCTCTGAAGAAATCTCAGAAACTTAAGTTTAAGGTCAGGTTATATAACATTACTCATGTCTAATAATTTTTCCTGCAATAAAAATGATTAAGTACTGCATTTAAAAAATAAACATAAGTTGAAAGGAACATATGCTATAGATATCATAACTAAGATGTTTGGAATTTAATTAAGGTGATGACATAAAAAGTTCCCAGGAGGAATTTGCAAGGGGGTGATGGTGAAAGAGGCCATGGGAAACACTAATGAGCATGGGCTTTGACACAGTGAGGAAGGCTGATACCAACTCACTTAAAAAAACAGAGATGACAATAATCTCAGAGTGATGAAGGAAGGAAGGGAAGGAGGGAGTGCGGGAGGGAGAGACCCCAAACGTTTAGTATATAAAGCATGCAGTTAGAAGTATTATCGCTATAATCACAATGCTGTTCGTGAAAAAGCACAGTTTGTAAGAGCTCCTGCAAAGGACGCGTCTTTCTAGTGGGAGGATGCTAAAACATTATCAGTATCCTGACGTGAGCTCTCTGCACTGAATGTTATGTGAGAAACAAGAACCCATCCGTGTGCGTGCTTTCCAAAAATAAGCAAGTCACATTCTCCAGAGAGTTAACCAATCCATCAATACTAGTGCTAGACCTTTCCAAAGACAATCCCACTCTGCCTTTCAAGTACTGATGAGCTCAGCTCTAAATTCTCAGTACACAAAGACTCCCAAATAAGTTAATGGGAAGTCAATGGGAAATTGACTTTTCCTACTCTGTGCTGGTTGGAATGCAATGCTCTGTTAATCATGCCATCCTTCTTGTTCTCTTTCCTCCTACCCTAAATTAAAACTATTGGTGGAAACCCACACAGATAGCTTAATTTCCATTACAATGAAACAATATCCTGGTTGAGGTTGAAGTCTATCGAAATCATACAACTTAACTGTTGGCTACAATTATAGTCTCAATGAAAAGCAAGGGCCCTATTCCACCATTTCCATCTTAGTATTACTTTGCATTTGCATAGAACTTTTCACTTTTCAAAGGGCTTGCATACCTATTATCCCACTTGGTCATTAGAGTGACCCTATACCATAAGAAAGGACAAGTATTATCTATAACAGATAAGGTAACTGCAGCACTAAAAGGTTAAGTGACTTGCCTAAGGCAGGAAACCAGAGCAGAGATATGGCCTCCTACTTCTAGTCCAATGTTCTTTCTACCATACCACTAGAAAAGGTTTGGTAAATAGATTACAAACTCAGATAAAATAAAATAAAACTTGAGAGGAAAGTTCAAATCAGGGCTCAGAGAAGCTATGCCTCTTCATTATCATTAATTTTTCAAGCTTAGTAGTCCCAGACAAACATTACTGCAGATTTCCACTGAAATTTGAAATACAAAAGAAAAGTTGTTCCAGTGTATATTCAAATCACTTTTTTTTAATAAGTAACCCTGTAGTTCATTCTGGGGTATGTGTAGGAGGATGGGTAATGTACAAAATAACTAAGAGTACATCTTTAAATCCTGTATCCATATTATGCCTGCAGCTATATTATAACCATCTTGTCTGGAAGGGTGAAAGAGATCTCCAGTCAAAAGTAGATTTTGAAAAATTTTTTAGAGCCCAGGGGTTCATTTTTAATGAGCCGTTACTTTAAGTACTGCATAAAAAATACAGGAAATTGATAGTCCATTTAGTCTGCACCATACCTAATGCAAAAGTCATTAAGATGCATTATTCTTAATGTTCATGATATGATCAGTAAGTGTCTTTTGAAAAGAATACCCTTAACTTTCACATAAGGAATCTTTGAAAACCTTATCTATTATATAGAAAAATGTTATGGCAACTGTGATTTACTTACATATCTTCACTGTGCCCCAGAAACAGCTTCCTCAATTATACTAACATTTTTTACAACAGTCCTCATTTGTAATACACTTACATATGACAGCATCGCCTTCATTTCTTCATCACTTCTCACTGTAATTCTATCACCATCTTCATCTTCATCTGTTATAAAAAAAAAAAAAAGAACACAATGCAAGCAATAAGATTTGCATTTTTTAATGTGCAAAACCATGCTGTGTGGGAACATAATACAACTGGTTTTTTATCCAAACCCTCAGTACCATACTTTGGGAGAATGTCAGGATTATTAGTTTGTTGTTTTGGATTTTGTCTGCAATATAATAAGACTTTTAAGAAACAACTAAAACCTTCTTTTACGACAGCTAAAAATCAAAATATTGCTCATGTCACCCACAACCTATCTCTGGATTAAAGTAAATATAAACGGAGTTTGACAAAACAAATATGTTTGGAACAGTTTTAAAAACCAAAGAGAAGCCAGTCATGTTCTACTATCAGTACCTTCTAATTTCTCAATAGGCACCCTATCCCCCCTTAATTTCTCCATTTATCCCCCTGTATTTCTCTATTCATCCTCTCTCCCAGACAAGGTATCACATTACTGTAGCATGATAATAATGACTAACTTTTACTAAACACTATTTAATACACATGAGGCACTAAGATTTGAGCTTTACATCCAATACCACCTTAAGAACCATTCCACAATCCTATGATGTAGCATCATCATTATTATTATTGTTCCCTTTTAACAGAAGAGCCTGGGGCCTAGTACAAGATTAACTTGCAAAGCAACTCTAACATAGGTCTCCCCATCTCCTATTCTATCTAAAGCACTCTTTCTCAACAGTTTCATCTGATTGAGTAACCTTATCTAGCAAGCTTCAAATGGTGATCACGCTATTTTGACATAGTCTTAGACTAGACTATAATAAGATTTTATAAAATATCGCAACAGCTGAATATACACATTTGAGTAAGTATCAAGGAGGCCACATCTGGAAACAATGCACTTATTTCAATAATTCTCTTAATCAAAGTAGTTTTAGAAAATTTCTTCAAAAATTGGTTGAAGAACCTGAAAATAAACCACACGAGAATATCAGATCTCATTTTTAACCTACATGGAATTATTGGCCTGATGACCCACCCACACCATCTGCTAGGCTGAACTCAAAATAACTTCTGGCTATTTCTAAATATTTAGTCTTCATCCTTCTAAAGATAAAGATTTGCAAGACTAAGAACAGTCTATGTGGCAGACTCTAATTGCACAATTGAAAGAAAAATGCCAAAAACATCTGAGTAGTTGTTTCCTAAGGTAACAACTTGGAAGGGACTGCCTCTCAGAATGCTTCAGCACTGGGGTACTCGCTTAAAAAAAAAAAAAGTTTAATTTTTTTTATTCTCTCTTGTGCATATAATTGCTGCTCTGATCAGATTCAGACAACACACAGATCCCAGACCTAGCAAGTCAGATATTTCTTGTCAAGAAGTAAATAAGCATATACAACTGGTCTAAAGACATTTACGAAAGAACAGGGGATTCAGTTCAGTGATCCTCCTATATATCCTTTCTACTTCCTGTGTAGCCATAATGGCAGGTGCCTGCCACCATGTCCAGCTTTTTTATTGGTTGAGATGAGGTCTAGTGTGCACAACTGGTCTAGGTACATTTACAAAAGAACAGAGGATTCATGGAGCTTCCCTCTCTAATAATTAGCAGGCCTGCCCTCCTGATCAGCTGCAATTCTGAAAATGTCCCCCTGCTTGGTGACCAGGTCATGGGAACCTAGAAAAGAGTTGTGCTCTTTCCCAATTAGAAAATGCTGCTACTTCCTTTCCTCCATCAGTAGCCAACAGCAATCCGACAACATGAGGGAAACCAGCTCTCTACCAGTCCCAGTCCCAGTGACTGGGTTCTCCATAGGTTTGTTTTCTAAGACACTCATTTCTGGATCCTGGATCCAGCTCACTTCTCAAAGTGTGAATCAGTATTACCAAGTCACTCTATCTAAACAGCTAGGATCTGCGGAGAGTCACCACTGTTACTCCTTTACCAAGAATTGCATGTTCTCAGCTTAAGGGCCACACCGGTCTCCTCAGTAAGGAAGAAAGCAAATTCCTGTACTCAGGAGGGATGCTACCACACATAAACAGCTACATAGGAACCTTTTTTTCATTCATTTTAGGTAGATTTCTTAGGGTCAAACTGGGAGAGAAATGCCATTCTAGGTATACAAACAGAAAAAAAGGAGTTTCTATGCCAGTTCTAGAAACTAACATATTCAAGGCTAAATTTAAAGTTTTCTCAAAACTACAGGAGACAGAGGAAAAATAGATAAAGTATAAAAGAATAAAATGTTATATACATTTTACACATGAAAGTACTTTATATTTTGCTTTAAAACCAGGTCAAATTCTGTTCCAACCGGAAGGAAGTAGGTTTTTTGGTAAATCACATTTCTGTACCAGAGCCAGCTAATACAGATGATGGTGACAAGAGACTGCTTCTATTCAAATTTCAATGGCTACAAGACCTCAATAAGTTTCTGTTTGCATGAGATGGGCAGGGTCTTAGAGTTCAGTAAAACAGGAGAAAAGCCTTTTTATAATTTCTAAAGAGAGGGCATAAGTTAAATCACAAATTCTCTCTCTCTAGAGAGACAAGAGAGGAAGAGAAGAAGGGAGAGAAAGTGAGGGAGAGAGGGAGGGAGGAAGGGGAGGAGTGAGAGACAGGGAGTGAGTGAGTTAGTTAAGTTCTCAAGGCAAGCCCTAAGTAATTAAGGCTACATAAGACAAAAATTCTGCAATTTTATCCTTCTAGAAATCTCTTAAGGGACTTTTTCAAAAGAAAGCAAGCAAAACCTGAGGAAGTCAACGGCAGAGTAATTCCTGCAGAGCAGTTCCATAAAAAGCAGCTATGAAGCACTATCCAAGCACTGCCTTTAAGCAGACAAAAAGGCTTTGATGGCAAACAAAGGGTAAAGCTTTGGCACTGTCCCGTAATACAGGGTTGGCGTCAAGAAGAAGATTTTGGGTAAGTTGAAAGAAGCATTCCAATAAAGCCTGGGGATAAAATAAGGCTTAGGTGAAACAGTGACTAATAGTTTTTAAGGATTAATAGGAGACCCAGTTTTGCCTAAGTCTTGGTTTTCTTTGGGGGACTCTCACCCTTCAATATATGGGCTTAGTTGCTTTAATGAAGAGTAAGACTCCCTACTCTTGTCAAAGAGGTTAAGTTAGAAAAATAACCATATCCATGAGAAGACGGATGGTTCTGTCCAAAAAGCAAAAGCTAACCTGTCTCTGATCCTGTGATGGCAGCTCAAGTACAAACAGTTCACCTCAACAATTAACTGAGAATGCATGTCTCTCTAAAGACAAATGACAGAAATGAGGAGTGAAGGATAAGAAAGCAGAAACACATATCAAGCAATTTACTATGCCAATACCTTAAAATACTTTCCTAAACAAAAGTTAGGAAAATACAAATAACCCATCTAAGTAAACACTCTGGCTTTCTGTCTTCGAACTGGGTTAGCAATTAAAACCTACACAAGCTAAAACAATAAATCATAAAAACTGACTAAATGGCACAAAGAGTTTCAAAGGTATAAATATGCTGGTGAAGAACACCAGAAAACAATGGCACTAAGTGGAAAGAAGTAGAAAAATAATTTGAACTTTCTGTCTTATACATGGAGGTTCTTTGCCATCTGACCAAAAAAGCATTACTGGATATAACCAAGAAAGGAGGAAGGGGGAGAGATCTGACACACTGGTTCACAATGAGAATTCTAGGCTTCTCTAGTTGCCTGGAGCATAGTAATATGATTTTCCAGCACATTAGGGAAGCAAAAGTAGAACCAGAAAGTCTATGCACTGGCTGGATTTTGTTAATGTCACTTAAAATGGAGGGAAAAAATCCTAGCAAGATACCAAATAGAGTGCAGCAGATGGTAAACAAATATTATGAAGCAATCTTCACAAAATCTGCAGTGTGTCACAAATATACAAAATGGCAGAGTTTGGAAAAAGAGAATCATAACAGGCCATATGTTGTTAGCGAGTTTATTTGAAAACCACGCAATCCAAAAGAGAAACCTAGAGGAGGAATATAAAGGCCCAACAGAGGAGCGGCAGCCTCAGGTGGGGGTGGTCAGAATGTCCTAGAATGTGAACAAGCAGACACTGGGAGTCTTCAGCAGACAGCACCCACTGCAGTGACGGGCTCAATAGGGCTTTCAGAAGAAGCAATCTAGCTTCCACATACAGCAAAAGAAAGTTAAAGCAATACATTATAGGTCATTTGTCATACTCCTCTGTGTCAGGTGGGAGTCAATTAGAACTACAGTAAAGGCATTTTTCCCAGGCAAGCAGAAAGAAATGAAAATATAACTGTAGAGGTTAGAAAGACATCAACAGAAAATTACCAGCAAGGACATCAACTTTAGAGTACTTCTTGGGAGTAAAGTCTCTAATCTGAGCAGAACTACAGGCCAGTTGCTAAGGTCACACTTTCATCTCCATGACTTGTCACATGGTTGTATGGACTACAACCTAACTAGTTTGCTTATAAACAACAGTTTATCTTTTATACACATATTCAACATTTAAGAAATTGCATTTCTTCTAAATATCATGGTACTTGAACTTTTCTCTGAAGCACAAAGGGGGTCCCACCCACCTATTCTTTCTGAGGTTTTCTTTGCTATTTAGACACAAGTTATCTCCTACAGGTATCACTCCAGTAATCAGCTAGTTGTTTTCTGCACTTTGAACACTTACAACTTAGGTAATTACAATTTTCCTTCAAAAGGTCATACTATGCCAACTTAAAGATATGATTTAAAGATTTTCATCCAAAATAAAAAATAACCTTCTAAAACCTCATCAAACAAGTGAAAGGATCCTATTCAATGAGCAGTGAGTATAAAACAGAGTTGAAAAAGACACAAAGTAGTGTTTATCATATAACCATATTTTCTGAACCAAACTCAGATGCAATTTGACTAGTGTGAAGATACTTATGAGGGCTACAGACCTAAATATTGAAATCAGAATATCATGGAAAAGTAAAACCATGTGGCAATTATCGGTGTAAGTCAGCATCTTTCAAGTCACCATGAGATTTTACT